TGGGGTCCAGCTGGAGGCTGCTGCGCTGGTAGTGCCCGCCCCGAGTGGCCGGACGGTCAGGTGTGGGCAAAGCTGCGAAGGGGACGGAGCTGCTGCCTTTGTTAGCGCTGCACCAGGGCTACAGAGCGGCTGAGCTTGTTTGTTCGTCAAGTCTGCACCAGAGAGTCTGGTAGCGTTGCTTGTGCATCTCTGTCATGAGAAGGAGCTGGGAGGAAAAGCTGTCCAAAAAGTGGTGTCCTTAGGCGTGAGGCAGGCGAGCAAGTGTGCTCAGGGTCACCTGGGAAAAAACAGCTTCTGTCCTTTCAGGTCGAGTAAGGAGGCCCTGTGGGGAGATGGTAACATAAGGTAACAACTAAAAAGGAGAATTTTAGCTCTGGGTTGTAGAGGAAGGTAGGAAATGCTGCCATTTGTGGTGCTTGCACAAGACCAAAGCAATTGGTTGGACTGGTAATCTTAACAGTGCTTCTTCGGGTGGAGGGGTTGAGGAAGGAGAGGTGCTAGAGGAGCCAAAAAGGAAGCTGAGGGAACAAAGAACAAGAAAGGTTTGGGTGAGAATTTAGCGATATGAATAGAAAGAGAGAATGTGTTGAAGAAATGCTTGGAACAAGATGTCATGTTTTTGAAAGGAACAGGAAAACACTAACACTATTCTTTCTCATAACCAAAAGAGACAAATATTTACTTTGTAGTGAGAATAACCAGCATGTCAGGTTCATGGTTGATTTTGTTCTTCCTCCCTCTTTTTCCAAGAACAGTTGTAGAGAACAGTCTTGCTTGTTACAAAGACAATTATCAATATTGGCACTAAGCAGCTATGGATAATTGAGCCTTAGAGCCCAACTTATATTCCATTTTATGATACATTTATTGGTCTATATGCACGATTGTAGTCCTATATATATGAAACTTGCCTGACATTCCTCTTGTGAAATGCTGTGCATACAAGCAAGGATAGTTTGTTCTTGAAATGCAGTATGATAATTGATTATGGCAAGAATGCAAGCACTTAACGAGTTTGGCTCTTTTGGGAAGAAGAGCTTGTCTTTTGGTTTTGAAAGATGTTTAGGATCATCAGCGCTACCACAACTTAAATTCTTGGTAGTGGATCTTAGTGCTGTGTTGCTGAGATCTCCTTTTTTATAGTGAGGAGAGAGAACAATGCATGTGAAATAACATGAATGCCTCTACTCCACCCCTCCCCTGCCTCCTCCTCCTAGGAAACAGTTAGGTTAGCAATTCTGAGATTAAACAAGGAAAAATTATTTGCACATGTTTATTTATGCTTTAGTTTTCCTTGGCTGCTGGGCAGCTAATGTTGCTTTATTAACCGTTTCTCAGATAAGCTGCTAATAGTGTATTGACTGACATTTTTGAAACTGATCCTGTCATCCTTGAGCACATAGGGTTGCTGCAGTGGTGAAATACTCACAGTGGAACAATGCGGGGGAGTTTTGGGTTTGTATGTAATGCTTGAATGTAAGGGAATGGTTCCTGTGAGAAGGGAATTTTGGTTCTTCATTTCATCTTCAATGACTTCTCATCACTTAAGTTTTTTAATTCTGAACAATGCATGGTTTTGTTTCCTGCTTTCTTGTGTCTTGGAAATCTGTTCCCTGTTTCTGCAGTTCAAAATGGATGAATTTCAGGGTGCTTTTCATAGTGTCTCATGGATCTTCAACATTAACAGATTTGTTGACTGTGGAGTCTGTGGTCTGCTTGAAGAACGTAATTTTTCAGCAGCATGATGATAAAATCCAGTTATTTTAATTTAAATGTCTCCAAATTGTAGGAACTTTAATGGCATATAATGATTTTCACGTTACAGACTATGTTTCATGTAAAAAGCTTGCTTTAAAAATAATTCTTAATACTCTACAGTTAGGGTTTTTTTTAATATCCACCAAGTTACGGGCTAAGAAATTTTCTGCAGGCAATTGGGCAGATTAATTTTAGAGTCAGGAGTAGAATCTTTTATTCAAGACTGCTGGGAAGCATCTGCCCAATGATAGCATCTTTGTGTCTGCTGTTTTAGGCTTTTATGTTCATCCACATAAAAAATAACAATCTCTGAAATGTAACAGTATCAGCTCCTGTGTTCTAGAGATACATATTTTAATAACATCTCACAAGTATTACCAGTACCACTATTTTGTTTCACTTGGTAGTTTTCTTGTTGGCTTTAGCAAAAAAAGAACTCTAGGTTTAATTAGTAGGTCTCTGTAGTGTTTTGCAGCTTGGAAACTATTTTGTAAGAAATAATTTGTTTCAAAGAGAACCTGGCTCAAATTTAGGGCGTATCATTTTCACCCCCCTTTCCTCCCTTGGTAGCTGATTCTAACTTAAGTTGACTAAATTAAACTTACTTCCCAGAGACCTCGCTTTCGAAAGGAACCAGGCTTTGGATTGTCCTTCTACTCATCTAATGCTGTGGTTCTAAAAATAAATTGTGTGTAGTACTGCTGAGTAGATGTAGTATCATAATGTTATGTACAGTATTAGAGCTAACTAACCCCCACCTGTGCAGCACACACGTGTGCACACAGACTTACATTCTTGTAGACACATTCTTGTAGACCAGCAGCTAGTGGTCAAGGAAAGAGAAGTGCAGTAATAAAAGACTGTATTTCTACTGTGTACCTACAAGAGAGCTGTGGAAAGTTAAAAGTTATCAGTTATTACTTCAACTCTGTGAAAAACATTTTTAAAGTAGAAATGGTTTGTGTGAGGTTGTGTTCCACCTCCTTCCCCTGCTGTAATCAGTATCTGGTGGCGATTTACTTTTGGAGGTGTGAGCTGTTTTTCTGGCTGCTTTGGTACTCAGTATAGATTTCTCTTTCCAGATAATCTCTTGGGAATATCCTGGGTTGACAGCTCCTGGATTCCCATATTGAACAATGGGAGCGTGTTGGACTATTTCTCAGAGCGAAGCAACCCCTTCTACGACCGGACGTGTAACAACGAAGTCGTCAAAATGCAGCGGATGACCTTGGACCATCTGAAGTAAGTTGTGATTTGGATCTGCTTCCTGTGCAATTCCTGTCCTTTGTCCCTCCATCCAGAGGCTTTGATGGCTTAATGGAAGCATACTGGAAAACATTCTGCTCTCTGCTTTTTAGTCCCACCACTTGCCAGGGAGCCCAGCTTTTTTTTGTTTTGTTTTTTGTTTGTTTGTTTTAATTTTGTAGGCTTCTACTTCCTCTCATGCCACTTCAGGGAGATGTTAAGCATGAAGGGTTCTATATATAAGATTCTATTAAAAACAGAACCCGAATAATGGTAATGTAGTTAAATGTTTTTCTGTGGTGAATAGGGTTTGTGTTAGGGGATACTTGGAGTTCATAAATAGTTTGTTTCCTGCTGGCTGTGTCCCATAATTGGTATGTAATTCCTCCAAAGAGCTGGCTTTTTATTATGAATAATAAAAATAATGAGTGTTGTAAATAAATGGATCACAGATGGTTGTGGAATGAGATTGCAGCATGCGCAAGTTAACTTTCTTTGCAGTTTCCCATCTGCTACACTGAGCACAAGTGAGAGGTCTGAGAACTATTTAAAGACTCCACAGTATGATAGGGTGTGTGCAAGCTGAGACAGGATTTAATTGGTAAAGTCACTTGTGCTCAGATGTATTTGCAGAGAGGCTTTCAAATCAAGACACACAGATGGTCACATTAAACACTGGTGCTTTGTTTCTTTGTTTAAATGACATATCTCTGATGATTCTTATCTTTCTCACTACTTATTTGTTTGCAAACATGTTCTTCTTAGAAGTTGTGTGAGGTTGTAAATCCCTTTGTAGGTGTAGCTAGGTTTTGAGATCTAGCTCAGGAAATCCTGTGCCTGTATTTACTGCATATTATATAGAGGAGCTTCCAAAGCATCAGAACCTCTTTCCTTTGCTTCCAGGCCCTTGGGTAGCTCTCCACATCCTGCAGATTTAACTTTTGAGGAAAATACTTAGCCTGGTTGTTTCTTTTCCAGCCAGATGGTTGGAGTGGAGTACATCCTTCTTCATGCTCAGGAGCCTATTCTCTTCATCATCCGAAAGCAGCAAAGGCAATCTCCAACACAAGGTAAGGTCACTCGGTTCTGGTTGCTGTTGAGAAGGCAAATCATTGAGTCACTTCTGTCGGTTTCTAATTTAAGCACGTCTGGTTCCCTTTTTCTGTCTCTGTCTTTAATCTATATAGAAGAGTATGAGGCTTTGTGGTGGGGTGGAGGTATTTTGTCTAGCAGAGTGAGCTCTAGTGTGCTAATAGCAGAGATTGCCATCTTGTGGTGAAATGTGAAGAGTGCAATGAGAAAGTGCTGCCCGGTGGAAAACTTTGCCATGGGAAATCCATTAGGTTATACAAGAGTTTTCATTTTAATAATTTGAATATGAGACTAACTATCCTAGGCTATCCTTGAGAGAGACTGATGAGCTTAGTTTAGTTTGAGTTAATCAAGTGACTAGTATGTGATTTATTTTGGAGAACCATGATTTCCATTAATTAGGGAGAGGGATCCTTCATACTTCTGTTTGTGTTACTATTTCCGCCTTCAATTGGTTATATTGCTGGAAAGGATCCTGTCAGTAGAAGGCAGTGACCTCTGTGAAAAATTACCCATGAGATGCCTCAAGTGTTTATTGTTTTGGTTATTCCTCTAAGAACCGAGTATTTCAGAATCATGAGAGAATCTTATGACAACAGCACCTTTTCAAGTTTTACATGGAATACCTTAGCTTTGTTTCCATTTGCATGCAGCTGTTCCTTTTTAACCTTAATTGTGTGTGTAGTTATTTAAAAACTAGTCACATTTCAATAGCTATTGGACTATCTTGTGTTTACTGCATGTACATGTAAAGTAATATTGATTTTTTTCAGAGTAAGCTTTACAGAAAAGAAAAGCAATGTTAATGTTAGTTATTTCTTTATTTTTTTGTTAGTGACTTAGGCTCTGCATATGCATTTTGGTCTTATACAGGTCTTTGCCTTGTCTAGCAATGCTGCTTATTTGCTTATATCAAGTAATAACCACTTTATATTCCAGTTCTCTACTGAAAAAGAACATGTATGATTCCTTCTTTAGTAGATTATCAAGTTGTTTCTTTATTAAAGGTTTTAATTAAAGGAATCTAGCTTTCAAAAGGTGAGTATGGAAATAGCATGCAGCCCTTCATTTCCAGTTTTAACACTTTTTTAGATCAAGAATAGAGTTGAGGCTTCCACATCATGTGTTTAGACTTTTGCTATAATGCAGATGTGTATTTGGTGGAACTAAACTTGTTTGTTAATGTTTTTCCCATTGTGACTGTGCAGTTTATGGTTGGTACCTTGGTTGAGTCGCATAATTTCCTAGCTCAAATGTTACCCATGTGTTTCATTTTATCATGGTACAAATATTAGTGTATTTGAGACACAGAAATGGGGGTGGAAAACTAAAATGTAATGAGTTCACAATTAATGTTCATGACTCTGATAGAAATGGTGCAGGCTTGTCTTATGACTTTTAAAAATGTGTATTTATAGTTTAAATTCTTTAAGCCAAGTTTTTTTGTCTGTTTGCAGTGATTTTAGAAAAATCTGTAGTATCAAATTATTTGGGAGAGTTACATGTTTAGGAGAGCTGGCTGCTTTGTTACCAAGCTGTGAGACAGTAAATCTGCTGTGATGTGCCTTGTTCCTCTTCTGAGGAAATTCTGAGAATCTTCTTTCTTTTGAGGAGAAGTGGGTACTGGCTGTACTAGGCATGCAGCTGTCTTGGTCTGCTAATTTAGGTAGGTCTCCAGGCTTCCTAAAACACAAGTACTGGATGAATTGGATCCTGTCAGTAAAAAGATTCAGACAGAGTATGTTAATACAGATGGAGGAACTGGAATAAATGTGTGTGCGGGTAAGATCCTTAGGAATGTGAAGCTGATAGCATCGCCATAGATTCTCAATTGAAGAATGTTTGGCAGAGGATTATGGAGGTAATTGTGTTGTTCATTAGAGCTGCAGTGCAGAAGAACAAGAATTTTTGATGGGTCAGTAGAGGTTCCAAATCTGATTTAGCAAATGCCTTTGGAAGTTGTCTTTTTTTTTGCAGAATGTTATTAATTTAGAAAGGCATGCTGTGTTGTTGTGGGTTTCTACCAGTAGCAAAGGCAAGTAGAATTTCTTCCGGTGCAGTTCACTTGACTCCACTTCAAAGATCAATTATTTGTTTGCAGGAGCACAGGACTTAAAGCTGACGCATTTCTGTCTGTAAAGCAGACCTTGGTTTCTTACTCCTTACCAGGCTGCTGCTAGGGTGGAAACAAAGCACCTTGAAAGAAAAAGTTAAAAAGAGAAAATGTGTTGATGAGACAAATACTGCAATTTCTGCTGCTACTACTGAAATTCTGCAACAAATACACAGTCTTCAGTCAGAGCTTTAAACTGATCCTGTTTTTTTATTTTCTTTTACTCCCACAGTTATTCCCTTGGCTGACTACTATATTATTGCTGGAGTGATTTATCAGGCACCTGACTTAGGGTCTGTCATTAACTCCAGAGTTGTAAGTGTTCTGTATATTTGGTATATGCCAGATTCCAGTTTTGTATCTACTTTTACTTTTGGTTGTTCCTCAGGCTGTTTCAGTCTTTCCCTCACTATTTTGAGGAAAGATCTCATGTAGTATTCAGTAACTGAAAGCAAACCCCACTGGTTAATATGGTGTGCATACTACATGGAAGTGAAAGATCCTGGGAGAGTGCAATATGGTCCAGAACACAGGTTACTAAGCATGAAGAGTTAGAATACCTGAAGCGTCACAATTAGTGGAACAACATGAGGTTTCAATCATCAGAAGAAAAATTAAATTACAAATACATATTAAATAGTAATGAATACATATTCAGGGAAGCTTGCTTTGGAATGTCAAAGTAATGTAATATCTCTTTTTATTTGAGGCTTATGTTTCTATGTTAACGTGGTATTTCTTTTTAAATTGGTACTTGGTTTTGCTTTGATTTCTTCTGTTCTAGTAAACTACTACTTTTGCAAGTTTTTCTCTGTCAGTTTAGAAAAGCACTTCAGGAAGAGTCTGTCTTGTAAGAGCCTGTTAAAGAAATTACATTCTTCATCCAAAACTAGGTGTCCCAAATTCCCTTCACAGAACAAAAATGAATATAGAATCCTGATTTTAAAATGCCTGCTTTCAAAAATGTATGCTGTGTTTTCTCATTCAATTCTGAACACTGCCTTACGTTCTTGTTCTGAAAGCTCACTGCAGTGCATGGAATTCAGTCTGCTTTTGAAGAAGCCATGTCCTACTGTCGCTATCACCCATCCAAGGGCTACTGGTGGCATTTCAAAGATCAAGAAGAACGAGGTATGATTACTAGTTGCTCCTGCCTACTTTGGGAGAGGGAAAGTAATGTAGGGAAAAGCTTGAGGCAATGTTCAGTGATGGTGTAGAGGTGAGGTTAAGTGTCTGTCTCCCTGAAGGGTAAAAGGTGGAAGGAATCTTGCTCTTCTGTGCTGGTGGGGATGAACATCAAGGCATGGGTGGGAAATAAAAATAGTGAGCCATGTGTCAACAAAGCAGGCAACTCTTCAACCCACTGGAGACCAAAGTACATTTTCAGAAGCCAAAGCAGGTTATCAGGAGATAACAATTGTCCTTACTCTGTCTTCCACAAGAAAATCAACAACCTGGAAACAGAAAAAGTAGGTTAAGTTTAGAGGAGAGGTGAATACCAACTTGTCATACAACAAAGAGCTGCTAAGAGAACAGAACTTGTAATACAGCTTTCTCTTACATTTCTGTAACTTGCAGAGAAAGCTAAACCAAAAGCCAAGAAGAAAGAAGAACCAAGTTCTATTTTCCAAAGGCAACGGGTAGATGCCTTGCTTTTAGACCTAAGACAAAAGTTTCCACCCAAATTTGTTCAGGTAAGATACTTATGAGCCATAGTATTGCTGTAACTTAGATGGAACTTAAGGCAGTCATAAGTACTTGGATAGCTGGAAGTGAATGGGAATTTTGTGTGCTTTCTGCAGTGGTAACATAGATTAGATATTAAATTTTAAGTGGAAGGCTCTGATTGGAGTATAGGATTCCTCTTTGTAATGGGAAGAGTCATTAAGACCTTGGCAAAACTATGAGGTCAAATTCTGTGATACAAATTCTTTATCTCATCACGGAGAATCTGCTCTTGTCTGCTATTAGATTTTGCTGCTGCCTCCAGTTTCCTGCTTTGTAAGCTCAATCAAGCCACCACAGCTATTTTGTTTCAGTTACTCCATTGTTCTGGAGGTTCATTAATTAGTCTGGAAATTCTTGGCATTCTGTGGAGTTGTTGTGATTACCTCTGATTGTCTCCAGAGGCCATTTGTTCCACCAGGTTTTCTGCTTGGGAGCAAAGGAAATTGTGTTTAGAGCATCTCACAAAACTGTTTACTCCTCAGATGTTGGAAAGACTGCCTGTCTATTTTTTGCTTTAGTGCTTCTCAGTTGTCAGAGGAAAAACTGGATGTTTTAAAATATTGTATTTTGTTTAAAGTGTATTTAGTGACCCTTCTATCCTTAACTCTTTATATGTAAGGGTGCATTGCTTGGTTTATATTCTTAAGTGAATAGAAGGAAGGGTTAAGAAGACTTTGGTTGCACTGATGTGGTGTTTTTTTTCTTCCTTCTCTACAGCAAAAGCCTGGAGAAAAGCCTATCCCAGGTAAAACTCTAATATTCTCACAAGACTTAAAAGTAGGCTCTATTTAGCAGTGTCTTCCAGGATTAGGAATTCTGGCATTGCTAGGTAAGAGCGAAGTGCTAGGTAGGAGTTCTCTGTGACAGCCAGAGTGAAACTGGAAAAACCTGTGTATTTTACTCCTGCCCTTTCTCTCTGTAAAACAGTATTAGTTGAAGGTCCAAATGCAGGAAATGGTCTTTGAAAGTAGGAGGAGGGTAAAAGGGTGAACGAGGAAACAGCTTGGTCAGTCCAGCATCCTTGTGACGTTGGGTGGTACTACAAGCTCCAGAAAGCATGTGAAGGCTTTGAGTTGATCTTAGGCAACCTCAGAACAGGAAAAGCATGAACTGGATCTTTTCAATCTATGCCACTTTTTTTTACCTGTATAGGTATGAGTTTAGTCCTTGGTTATTCATATATTTTTGAAATTGGTTTTGCCTCTTTGACAATATTTTTAAAGTACTCTGACCAGTATTTTAGGAATAAAAATTGGAGGTTTAACTTTCTTTTGCTGTTACTTCTTAAGTGGATCAAATAAAGAAGGAACCAGAACCAGCCCCTGAAGCTGTCAAGCAAGAGGAAAAAGAGACTGTAAAGAATGCTCAGCAGAGTGCTGGCACTAAAGGACCACCTGAAAAACGGATGCGGCTCCAGTGAAGGGAGAAGTCGCTACATGTCTGGATTTAGTCAGTACCTGGAAGACAGGAGATTCTTGCTCCCCTTTATATTTAAGATCTGCATCTGAGACTGACAATTCAGGGACTGACGTCCCTGTAACAACTTTTTCTGTAGAACCCTGTCACACAAATGTTAACGTCAGGATGTGAGCTGCCTCAGAGGTGTTTTCAGTCTTCATCTTACTTTGAATGTTGGCTTCTGGGAATGGTTTTTACAGACATATTTGGCAGCCTCCTGAAATCTTTACCTGTCACACAAATGTTAATGTCAGGATGTGAGCTGCCTCAGAGAAGGTGTTTTCAGTCTTCATCTTACTTTGAGTGTTGGCTTCTGGGAATGGTTTTTACACAGACATATTTGGCAGCCTCCTGAAATCTTTACACACTCTTGCATACCTTGTGTCTTGTTTTTTCTATGTATAAAGAAAAACTTTTATATTAAAACCACCCTGAATTCTTAGCAAATAAAACTTCTGGCTGCTGCAGTGCCTTTCTGAAGTGCTTACTTTGTTAGTAGCAAATACGCCATGTGTGTTGGCAACATTTTTTCTGATGGGATATCAGAATGTATTGTGTGCTGTTTTAAGGAAGAAAAGTTCAACAAAAGGATTTAGGCTGCCTGCTATAAATTGCTGTGCCTTTAGTATGGTTGTGATATAGAGAAAAGATTTGATAATGGAAGGCTTAGATCCATTTAATTAGATGCCAAAATATTCTCAGTCTCTAAATGTTCTTGGACACTCATTTAACATAATGGCTAAGTTGGTGTTTTACTATAAAAGCTAGTGTTCTGTGAGAGAGATTTATGAAGACGTAAAACCAGCTAAAATGTCTTGCTGTTGCCCACTTAGTGAAGCTGTTTATATTTCTCTTTTTTTCACTGTAACTTAAATATATCAATTAAATCTCTTCCTCTGTGCTTCTAGCACTTTCTTGTTGCATCTGATCACCTTGGTTAGTCATCTTCCTTTTAGAACTGAGGAGGTAGGGTTATGGAAGAGAAGCATCACTGACAGCTACGCATTGCTATTTAAGAACATTGCTTACATAAACCATTTTTTGCAGAAAAATTAGAAGTCATCCATTGCAAAGAAACAATTACTGGTTTGGTATTTTTCTTTGAAGTAATGGAGAAATCCTTGAAATGCTTGCTTGCTGTTCACAAGTGTTTCCTGCTTTCTTGTAGTAAATTTTAGTAAGCAAGAAAAAGGTCTGTATACAGCAAGCAAAATGTAGATAGGAAAGAAGGCTAAGATATCCTTAGATAGCTGGATCAAATTAATTTTGAGGCTGAGACTTTTAGTTTCAGTAATTAATAAACAGCTATGGGTAGCTATTTAACTATGGAAAGACCCACTTAATTTTTGTCCTGTAATCCAAAGTTGTAACAGTAGAGAGGTAGATAAGCTAGTAGCTTTGTAGTTCATGCAGACACAGACCTAAAATTCATGTATCAGTGTACTTAAATGTGTATTAGCTTTATTTCATACCATTTGGATCAAGTTTGAATGTTTCTTCGAACGTTGACAGTAGATAATAAGCCAGTGTGAACTCTCAAATCAAGTGAAGATACAGAAAGCAGTAGTTCTGGGATGCTCCAGAGATGACTGAGCTAATTATTCAGCATTGAATAATTACAAGATAGTGGGAATAAACTTGGAGTAAAAAGGTGTTTGATTCTTTCTTGTATTAAAGAAATTCCTCTGTAAGCCAGGAGCTCAAGAAGCACCAAACCCCTCATCTCATCCGCCCCCATGATGGAAAGAAGAATCTCTAGAAATGAGGTATGAGTGGTGAGGAACCTTGAGAATCCTTGCTGGATTTTTGATGTTCAGAATAAAGTCCTTGGAAATTTCTCTGTAGTTATTAATATTAGTAAGAACCTGTCTGTCATTTGGGAAAACTTAGGTAAGAAAGATGTAGGATGTGGTCGCTTTTTTCTAAGGTAGAAAAAATTACTTCTACATCAAGGAAAGCTTTAACATTACTAGCAGAAGAAAGAGATCGTCCTTATTGCTGAAGGCACGTACAGTTGTGGTGTAAAATGGTTGCTAGAACACATAGTACAAACAAAGTGTTCTGTCAGTCACTGGACTTCACCTGAAATGGTGTGTTGTACAGATCAATGTCTGAAGAATTCTGAAGTAGAGGAGTCTGAAGAAGGGCAATAGAATGATGACACGAAAGTTTCTCCTGTGAAGCCACTGGCAGGACTAAGACTTTAATTCCTTAGAAAAGTCAAATATTGAGTCTTTATAAAACAGAGTACTGGGAAACATGTAGGAAAGTAGAGAACTCTTGCCCTGTCTTGTAGAGCAAGAACAGAGGAACGAGTTAATGAAGCTGAATTGGAGTTACATTTAGACTGAATTGTTGTACTCCATGCTCAGAATTTGAGGTGATTCAGAGAGGAGGGTGGAGCTTGAGGGGGCAGACTGTCCTCACATCTGCATCTCTTAATAGCCCTTTGAGTTTCTGCAGAAATGCTTGGTATCAGCTGGTGTTGGAGGGCATTAAAAATGATGGACTTCTGGTCTAATCCCATCTAAACTGAAGTGCCAGCATCTAAACTGTTAGAGAGGATAGAAGATGGCTTCCATGCATGAAACAATGCATTTGAATGTGGTAAGCCTCTTGCAGGGAAATTACCCTTCCTGAGAGAATTGCATTATAAAGCAGTAAGGGGTGTTACCAAAGGGTGTGACGATTTCCTAGTAGCTGTCCCTCGATGTTGAAGGTTTGCCAAATGAGTGACTGAAGTATCTTCTCATCCTGTTACTTGCTGACAAGATATTCTAAAAGAATACTATCAGTGAAGTGAGCTTTGATATTAACTTACTCAAGTGACATTATGTCAGATATTACTGCTAGGCTCCAAGTAATTTACTGTCAAAAAGCAGTTAAGCAGCAATCTTCTAGTCAGTAATGTTTTTCACCGTGTGAGAATCTAAACCTTTTCTCTGGTATTTATGGACTGTCTCTTGGTTTGGAGCCTGAGTGCCAAAGTCCTTCAGAGGACCTTCAGTATTTGTGAATCTTATAGATGAAGGGGAAATAAGCAGTTCTGAAATTTGCCCCGTGATTCACTTTCTTTTTTCCATAAAGGAGAGATTTGGTTGTACAAGAGAGCTAGCACTTCTGCTTTTGCTTTTCATTCAGACTTAAAAGAGCTTTTCTTGGCCTAAATCATGAGGTAGAAGGAGTTAAAAATTACCTAGAACTCTTAGCGTTCTCCTGAAAGTCCATGAAAATGTGTATACACATGAACAGATATGCATATACATACCATTGTTTTTTCCATACAGACACATAACGTGCAAAAATCCATCCATATTGTAGGAAGAAGGGCAGTCTAGCTACTCCAGTTGACTGTGTAAAGCTAACGGTGTCTCAGATGCAGCAGAAATGCTGTCTTTTTCAGCTCTTCACTAAGTAAGGTCTGACCAGGCTGTGTTATTCTTGCCCATTCCTCTTTGCCACTGTGCCCCCGTACTTCATATTTTGGTAACATTTTCCTAGCAGAGAAAGTTAAGATGCCATTTGGACAGTCAGTACGTGTTGTTTGCCAAAGCAAGCTGTACTTCAAGCAAAGTTAGAAGGATACAGGGGTACAGGGAGGAAGGGGGGCAAAGGAGAGAGATAAGCTTTATGTTGAGGCAGGGAGGTTCCCTGGGAGCAAAACAGTGAAGATACATTATGCAGAGAGATTGTAGCTTCAGTGAGCCAACAAATGGCTTCTGAACAAAAGGTGATTGTTCAGGTGTTTTTCAATTTTGTTTTTCAATGGCAAAAAAAATTTATAATAACTGGGCATTCAAGGTTTAAGACAGTTTTTCTTTTTTCTTGGCAAGGAAGGTGAATTTTTGATGAAGTGTTGCTTTGGTCCTGTAATCGTGCAGTGAAGAAACAATCGGTCATTTAAGTGACAAGTGTCCTTTGGTAGCCTAATGTGAATCACAAATGGATGGGTGGTGTAGAGAAACTTTTCCAGTGGGATGAGTTATGATGTATTATTGATCTCTCAACAATTGGAAGGCTTTGCTTATCTCTGCCAGGACAGTGGATTTCAACCTGTGGTCTACAAGGCTGCTGAGGGTCTGTGATCTGTTTTCTGAAGGAAACTTCTTGATGGTAGGATTCGGTTCCATAGGAGTTTACACATTCACTGGAAATTTTAGGAGGCTACAAGATTGAAAAAAAATTGAAAAACACTGGAGAATCATGAGAAGGCCAGTTACACCTGCCAAACAAATGCTTCTGCTGTTGAAGTAGCTATGGATCGCTGTGATCTTTTTTCCCTGCTCTACTGTAAGGTCAATCATTTTTAGAAAGATTCTAATAGAAGCAGGCATCCTCCTGTTTTCATCCCTTTAATCTGAGGTACTGTTTTACAACCTGTATACTATTAATGCTGCCCACACAATAAACGAGCAAGGTGCCAGTTCACAGAATCTGAAGCCCCTTTGACAACTGTTGGTAACCTCCACAGCTTTTGGTTAGGTCTGTCATGTGCCCAGCTTAGGGTACCAGCCCACTCAGGACCCTGGGGCAGGAGGCAGTAGAGGGAGACTCTGAGTACTCTGCCATCTTCTCTCACTGCTTAGCCTCCTGAGAGCACTGCCTGTCTTGGGCAGTTTGGAACAGTAAGTGTTACAGCCCATGCCAGCCTGATACTCAGCAACCAGAAGCTGGTGCCAAAAGGCAGGATCCCAGAGGTGGAGATGGTGTGGTGGTAGGATGCATCTCCTGCATCTGAGAAAGGTAAGAGCCATAGCAGGTTTGACTTCAGCCCAGACGTGCTTTCAGTGCTGAAAATAAAGTTGTGAAGAGTTCCTGAAAGATAACAGCTGTGGCTATGTGAAATCCCAGCACTACGTGCCAAAACCCCAGTGTGCATCTGTGCTGCACAGGACATCCTGTCTTACCCCAATCCAAATCACTGTCTTATAGCTGTGTCTTGATGGAGCTGGGATGGCAGCCAAGTGGTAGATGTACCTGTAAGCTCTTTCTTCCCAGTGCTCTGCCAGCACAAAGCTTTAGAAAGGCCATGATATGGGAAAATGTCTCTTGCATCAGCGATCAGTTTGTAATTAAGGCAGATTGCTGTAGGTATGTAGCAGCTGTGGCATAGACAGGCTTTACGCTTTTATACTTGGTGCCATTAGTTTCCCTTTATACTGCTAAATGTAGTGGAAGTGAATTCCTTGCTGGTTTTACCATTTTTTCCCTTGGTGTAAGTATAGCTGTGGTAGCTATCATAAGGCACATGCTAAGAAAGGGCACCAAGAAGTGTGATTATTTAGTTACCAAGGTAACATAGTCCCTGTTTTTAAAAAGTGGAAAAAGGAAGACCAGTCTAGCTGCAGGCTGGTCAGTCTCACCTCTGTGCCTGGCAAGATCATGGAACAGATCCTCTTGGAAAATCTTCTAAGGCACATGGAAAATAAGGAGGTGATTTGTGACAACCAACATGGCTTCACTAAGGGCAAATCATGCCTGAACTATTTGGTGGCTTTCTATGGCAAGGCTACAGAGATGGTGGATGGTGGCAGAGCAACTGACGTCACCTACCTGGATTTGTGCAGAGCATTAGACACTGTCCCACACGATATCCTGGTCTCCAAACTGACAAGACACAGATTTGACAGATGGATCACTCGGTGGATAAATAATTGGCTGGATGGCTGCACCCAGAGAGTTGTGGTCAATGGCTCAGTGTCCAAGTGGAGGTAAGTGAGGAATAGTGTTCCTTAGGGTCAGTACTGGGACCAGGGCTGTTAAACACCTTTGTGGAGACATGGACAGTGAGACTGAGTCTATCCTCAGCAAGTTTGTTGTTGATACCAAGCTGTGTGGTGTGGTTGACACCCTAGAGGGAAGGGATGCCATCCAGAGGGACCTTGACAGGCTGGAGAGGTGGGCCAGTGCCAGCCTCAGGAAGTTCATCAAGGCCAAGTGCAGGGTCCTGCACTTGGGTCAGCACAACCCCAGGCACAAATACAGGCTAGAAAGCAGTCCTGAGGAGAAGGACTTGAGGGTGGTAGTTGATGAGAAGCTCAACATGAGCCACCAGTGTGTGCTGGAGCCCAGAGAGCCAAACACATCCTGGGCTGCATCAAAAGAAGTGTGGCCAGCAGGGCCAGGGAGGTGATTCTACCCCTCTGCTCTGCTCTGGTGAGACCTCACCTGGAATACTGTGTACAGTTCTGGTGCCCTCAGCACAGGCAAGACATGGAGTTGTTGGAGAGGGTCCAGAGAAGGGGCATGAAGATGATCAAAGGGCTGGAGCACCTCTGCTGTGAGGACAGGCTGAGGGAGTTGGGGCTGTTCAGCCTGGAGAAGAGAAGGCTCTGGGGAGACCTTATAGAGGCCTTGCAGTACCTGAAGGGGCTACAGGAAAGCTGGGGAGGGGCTTTTCATCAGAGAGAGTAGTGATAGGTTAAGGGGTTATGGTTTTAAACTGAGAGAGGGGAGTTTTAGGTTAGACGTCAGGAAGAAATTCTTCACTATGAGAGTAATAAGGTGCTGGATAGGTTGCCTAGGGGAGGCTGTTGATTACCTCTCCCTGGAGGTGTTCAAGGCCAGGTTGGACGAGGCCTTGTGCAGCCTGGTCTAGTGTGAGGTGTCCCTGATTGTGGCAGGGAGGGTGGAACCTGATGGTCTTTAAGGTCCTGTCCAACTTCAACCATTCTGTGATTCTATGTCCTAGTAACCAACTAGTTACTAGGAGACCAGTATTTCTGTATTTTTTCATTTCAAACCATAGGCTTTCCCAAATGTTCTTTTGAGCTGAATCTTATCTCCACTCAAAAATTATCCTTTATTTTAAAACGTGAACAAAGCAAAACCCAGCCTTTGAGCTCTTAAAACAGATTTTCCCCCCTGTGGTGTAACCAAATGATCCCTTTGCTCAACACATCCGTGGCAAGGAGTGTGAAGCTGAGCCAGGGCCCCTCCTTGCTGTGTCTGCTCAGAGACACCTATTATTTTCAAAGGGAATGCTATAAGAAGCTGGGAATGTGCTTGATCTGGGCTAATTTGCGCGTTCCTCCCCACAAGAGCCTCCCTACAAGCTTGCAGAGCATGTCTCAAGGTGTCCTTGCAGCCTTCCGACACGTACCCCCAGGCAGCAGGGGGCCATTTCCACAGAGAGGAGGTGAAGGGGGCTGCGGTGCTGCCCCTCCTGCTGCAGCCCTCCAGGCTGGGGGGTGTTGGGGGCCGTGGGGCAGTTGGAGCCATTCGGACTGTTGGAGACCTGGGGGCAGTTGGAGGCCTCGGGCCGGTTCCCGCTGGCAGGGCCCTTCTGCGCTCCTTGCCCTCCCGAAGCAGCGGCGATGGGGGCACTGCTGGGGCTGCTGGTGCTGCTGGGCTTGGCAGGGCGTCCCAGCGCTGCAGGGGACCTGCCCGGGGACCTGCGTGTCGCCGCCACCTGGGTGACCGTCCCACGGCAGCTGAGCCCCCGGGCTGACACCAGCCCCCCAACCGTCTCCTACTGGCTGGAGGTCGACGGGCGGCCCTGGGTGCTGCGCC